GAGGGGAGTGAGCAAGCGGCTGTGTGGTGCTCAGTTACCGACTGAGGTTAAACCACGACAATGAGAATGGACAGAAAGACATTGCTTGTAAAGCACGTGAGCATTAATGAAAGGAGGATGAGGGGAACACTTCCCTCTCCAAAATGTAGCAGAAACTTCTTTCAGGTAGAAGTGAGCACAGCTGAGGTGCTGGCTTCCCAGCCATAATTTGTTAAACTGATTCTGTAGTTCTTGTATTCTACAGCAAGCCTGAGACATTAAAGAAAGCAAGAATGGCTATACAGATCAATGTAGTGACCATTAAATATTTACAGAGATAATTACAAATAGACTAAACAAAGCAATGGGGAAATTAATAAAAGATGACCAGGTGGGTTTTATGCCTGGAAGACAATTTAAGAAGGGTACTTCATACTGCTTATGAGACAGGCACATGCTGGAAACAGCTGCTGCCCTTTCATTAGCTAATAAGCTCAGGCATTGGGGTTGAGAAAGACACTGATAACATTATTGAGAAATTAGAGAACAGTGAGCTGGAAGTGAATGGGAAAGCAGAGGTCTCAGAAGGGCTTTCTCCATGTGCCTAGACAGGGATGAACCCCCTGGGGCCAGGTGACTTCGAGCAAGTTTCTGCTGAAGTACTGACATCAGTCTGCTTGGATCTCACAGTAGGAGTGAGTCTTGATTCCCATCCAAGAGAAATATTCTTTAAGTGTCTTTATATCATCATTAAGAAAGACAAGAAGAACAAACTAAGGGGACAGAGGCAGTACTGATGGGCCCAAATCCGGCCAGCTTTATAAAAATAACTTTTTGCAAAGTCTGTGTAATTTTGCATATGCGTTCTGTTGTTGTAGTTGTTTCCTATCCTGAGGGAGAAGATGATCTTTAATAAAAATAAATAAATGTCAGATAACATTCAGAGAGCTTGATTGGACTAAAAATCCTGGCTCCAAGTATCCCTGAAGTCTGGGAGTATTTAAAACCTGAAGACAGATCAGCTCCAGCAGTACAAGGCAATAGAAATGATATATTAATAAAGAAAAAGGGCTTTGCTTCCAGTTTTCGGGAGATTATAAATAAAAGTGAGAAATACATTTTAAAAAATCATTATAAATACCTTGAGCTTGTCCTCTGACAAAAAAAAAAAAAAAGAAAAGAAATAAAAGAGACATTAAAAATAAAATCAAGGTTAAGACACAAGACATTTAAAGTCGGCATGTGGGCTACCATGGAGTGTTACAGAGTAATGAAGAGAAAGGACACAGAGGAGAAATGAAAAGAGTGTGTAATATATTAAGTCATGCCCAAAGGGTTATGTGCACCATGTACTAATAAATGCACCAGGAGGATAAAAGGATGAACAAGGCAGTTCAAAAAGTAATCAAGCCAAAGAAAAGCAAATGTAGGATGGGAGGATGAAATGCTAGTGTGAAGTTGCATATGGATTTCAGCGGAGCAAGGATGATTTTGGATGATCTGGCCCTGTCCCAAAAGAATGGAAAAAAACCAAGGCTGAATTAAAAAGTCTTGGGAAACAGCTGGGAAAAGGAGAGGTAGGGAAGTAAAAGGAAATGTCAAAAGCAGGTGAAAGTTGTTTCATAGATCAGGTTAGGGGAAGGAGAGAAGAAGAGATGTGACAGTGAAAAGTCTGAAGCATGGCAATGATCCATTACTGGGTGTATATGGACTGAGCAGTGAGGTGGCCTGTCGCTGGGTCTTGTTTCACACCATTTATAGGCCGAGGAGGTTTCAGAAGAGTGACTGTTCCTTTACCGCACTGTGAGCCATAGAAGGACCAGCCCCATGAGACGTACTGAGGTCCTGCTGTCACATAGACCGGATGCAGCTTAGCAAACTGGGAACCCCCAAGGATCCTGACAGGAGGGAACAGGCAAACAGCAGGACCACAACCCTGACTTCAGAAGAGTAGGCTTTAGCCTGTTTAAGGTCCTGCTTGGAAGAATCCCATGGGAGGCAGTTCTGGATAGAAGATGGGTCCAGGAGAGCTAGTTGTTTTTCAAGGGTCACCTCCTCCAAGCTTAAAAGTGGTCCATCCCTATGTGCAGGAAATCAACCAAAAGTAACACAAGGCCCACACGGTGAACAAGGTGGTCCCAACTAAACTCAAACATAAAAAAAAAGTGCACAAGAGGTGGAAGTAGGCACAGGTGACCAGAGGGAATATAGAGACGCTGCCTGAGCATGCAGGGACAGGTTTAGAAAAGCCAAAACCCAGCTCAAACGGAGTATCTCAAGGGACGTGAAGAGCAGTAAGAAAGGCAAGTACATCAGTATCAGGAAGGAAGACTATGGAAAATGCATCCCATGGGAGGCAGTTCTGGATAGAAGATGGGTCCAGGAGAGCTAGTTGTTTTTCAAGGGTCACCTCCTCCAAGCTTAAAAGTGGTCCATCCCTATGTGCAGGAAATCAACCAAAAGTAATACAAGGCCCACACGGTGAACAAGGTGGTCCCAACTAAACTCAAACATAAAAAAAAAGTGCACAAGAGGTGGAAGTAGGCACAGGTGACCAGAGGGAATATAGAGACGAGCATGCAGCATGCAGGGACAGGTTTAGAAAAGCCAAAACCCAGCTCAAACGGAGTAGGACGTGAAGAGCAGTAAGAAAGGCAAGTACATCAGTATCAGGAAGGAAGACTATGGAAAATGCAGGTCTGCTGCTGAATGGGGCAGGGGACCTGGTGGCAAAGGACTAAGAAAAGGCCAAAGTATTCAATGTCTTCTTTGCTTGGTTTTTACTGCTAATATTTGCCCTCAGGCATCACGGCCCCTGAGACCAGTGTGGAATTTTGGAGTAATGAAAATTTACCATCTGTAGAGGAGGAACAAGTTAGAGAATACTTAAACAAACTGGACACACAGAAGTCCAATGGATCTGATGGGATGGTCCCAAAAGTGCTGAGAGAGCTGGCCAATGTCACTGTAAAACCACTCATATCTATCTTTGAAAGGTCATGGTGACTGGGGGAGGTTCCTAAGGACTGGAAGTAAGCAAGTATCACTCCTTTCTTCAAGAAAGAGAAGAAGAAGTACCCAGGGAACTACAGGTGAGATTTGTCAGCCTCACCTTGATCCCTGGGAAGGTTATAGAGCAAATTCTTCTTGAAAACATTTCCAAACATATTAAGGACAAGGTGATTGGCAGTAGTCATCATGGATTTACAAGGGGCCAGCCATGCCTGAGCAACCTGATAGCCTTCTGTGATGAAATGAATGACTAAGTGGGCAAGGGGAGACCAGAGCATGGGGGTTGGTTTCTCTTTTGACTTTAGCACCGTCTCCCAGAACATCCTCATAGACAAACCATTGAAGTATAGACTAGATAAGTGGACAGTAAGGTTTATTGAAAACTGGCTGAACTGCTGGGATCAGAGGGTTGTGATCATTGGTGTGGACTCCAGCTGGAGCCTAGTGACTAGCTGTGTACCCCAGGGGTCGATATTGGGTCCAGTACTCTTTAACATCTTAATTAATGACCTGGATGATGAGACCTACTACACCCTCAGCAAGTTTGCTGATATAGAAAACTGGAAGGAATGGCTGATACACTAGAGGCGGTACACGAGGAGAGGCTGAGAGAGCTGGGACTGTTCAGTGTGGAGATGGGAAGGCTCAATAGGATCTTATCCATGTGTATAAATGCCTAGTTAGGGAGTCAGGGGGAAGATGACAGAGCCAGACTCTTCCCAGTGGCCCCCAATGACAGGACAAGAAGCAATGGGCACAAATTGAAACACAGGAAATTCTGTCTGAACATCAGGAAACACTTTTTTACTGTGAGAGTGGTTGAGCAGTGGCACAAGTTTCCCAGAGAGATTGTGGAGTGTCCATCCTTGGAGGTATTCAAAACCCAACTGGACACAGCCCTGAGCAACCTGCTCTAGCTGACCCTGCTTTGAGCAGGGGGGGTTGGATGACTTCCAGGGGTCCCTTCCAGTCTTGACTATTCTGTGATGCTGTGATACAAGCTTCAGTTGTAAATGAACCTAATTGTTTTCCTTAGATTCCCTCTTGGTAGCAGATTATGGAAATCACATAAAAGAGGTTACAGCAACAGGTTCGGTCATTTCCTCCACCACAGGATGGGTTTATTAGTTTTCATAGAAAGACTTCCAGAGATTAAGTTGTTAATGAAACATGCTGATGAGCAGCTATGCTGATGAGTTGAAGACATCATTGACACAAATCAGGTATATTAACACCAAATAGGACAAGTATCTCCTGAATATAGGAATATCTACAGAGGTCACATTCACTGCTTCACTCTGAGGAGGAGATGCTTGAGGCCCAATAACCCACACATAATTTCTACAGAACAGAGCATATAATCAATATATGCTACCCTTCTGTCAGACAGGAGACAGTAAGAGTTTGAGGAGGAAGTTAGAACACTGTTTTCTCCAAAAGAATACATAGACTCCATTTCTTGTTCCTAGGGAGTTTTCTTTTTATATATCTGGCGATAGCACTTCAGTAACTTGTATGATACCTTGGCTTGTTTCTTTTGCAGCTGAACTGGATTTATTTTGGAAAGTACCTATTTGCAACAGTGACTGCAGGTACACAATGTAAAACCAGCCTACAAATATGGGAACTGGGCAGAAGCAGGACAATAAGGGCGTTTTTCCATAGATATTGAGGTATCCCTTTGAGCCTGGCTCCAGACTGATGGAAGCGCCCATTCTACCCCTTTCCATTTTTAGAAATGTCCTGGTCCTAAGGAGCACAAACCCATTCCAGCTCTCCTCCAGTGTGCTTAAATGTGCACTATACCAAATGGTAACATTAGTAGTGGGATCCCCTAGGGTATGTCTCTTTACATGACAAGAACTTCATGTTAGTCAGCCTACTAACAATCCATTCATTCTGTTTTACATAAGGTAACAGTGTTCTTCAATGCACAGAGAAATAAATAAACCACAGGCATTGCTGTCATGTTTGTTACTACTTACATAGTTGACACATTAAAGGCATTTGCCAGGAGAACTCACCAGACAGAGTCTTTTGTAAGTTTGGTGTCCACTTCCCCTTTGTCATCCAGAAAGAAGTCCAACTGTAAATTGGCGTTGTTATCATGGGCAGAAGAATAGTTGGTAACGAGTCTTGCAGGTATCCCCAAGCACCTCAGAACTGTGGCAAAGAGAGAAGTGTGATGAGGGCAAATATGAAGAGTGAGCTCATGGATGACAGGATGAGTAGGGAGAAACTATTAATAACTAGAATAAAATGGAAAAACCCAGTCAAATGAACCCAAATAATTCCTCCTATCTGCCTTTATATAGAATATGTTAAATATTTTATTTGGTCCCAAAATGATGAGCATTCAAGATATGTGATGGTACAATGGTTATAACCTAAGCAGCTGATTACCAATAGTTTTAGAATAGTCTTGCATAGTGACCACACTGTAGCTTTCCAGGGCAAATCTGGATGCAATGGGTCCCCTGCATGACCAAATGCGATATAAAGAAAAATAAGTTTAAGCTTGCAAGAAATGCAAAATATATTAGGTCTCCTAGTGTCAGTAACCCAGGAGAATCATGAGACTGTGCTAAATGGAAAATTAATAGAAAGTGTCTCCTTTTAGTTGATTTGGAGTTTTCCTGTTTGACATTTGCCGTCAGAAGGGATCTGGAGAAAACAAAGAATAAAGCAGAAAATTATTGTAAACAAGGGGGAAAAGCTGCATTATTTGCAAGTGAAATGTCAGAGTTAGAGAGTCTCAACAAAATACGTTACATAATTTGTATTTATTGCTAATTAATAGTCTTTTGGAGTCAATAGTCCCTTCCCTTAAAGGATCTTACGAAAGGAGGATCAAAAAAAAAAAAAAAAGCCCCAA